TAATTTGAATTTATGTAACAAATGAAATACATTAGCTATATATACATAAAAATTAAACGATAAGACAAATACCAACTCTCTATTGCAAATCACCCAAACAACCACTTTTTATGATTAGCTCCAATGAAACGGCTCGCACAAAAGAGATGCGCCCGAAACTTAACGCTTCGCCGGAAACCACCATCAGTGCCATTTTTGAAAGTCAGGCACGAGAAGCTCCCGACCAGGTTGCGCTTGTGTTCAATGAACTTGCTATCACCTATCAGCAGTTGAATGAACAGGCTAACTGTATGGCAAGATACCTCCGGCAGGCAGGTGTAAAGAAAGAAACCCTGGTGGCCATCTGCCTGGATCAGTCTGTTGAAAAAGTCATCAGTATGCTGGCGGTGCTGAAAGCCGGCGGCGCTTATATCCCTTTAGACCCTCATTATCCCGCCAGCCGCATCAACTTTATATTGGAGGACACAAACGCGCCCTTCCTCCTGACCCAGACATCGCTTGCAGCCAAGCTGACTGAATTTAAAGGGCAAACCATTTACCTGGATACAGCAACGGTACAGGAGCAAATAGCAGCCTTTGCCCCGGGCAATCTCACAGCGGTAAATACCGGTGCAGACCTGATGTACATCATTTATACTTCTGGCAGTACCGGTACCCCCAAGGGCGTTATGATAGAACACCGGTCGGTAGCTGCCTTTACCGCACATCATAGTAAAGTGCTCGGCATCCAGCCAATGCATAAGGCGCTCCAATTCTCATCTACCAGCTTTGATGCCGCTGTGATTGACTTGTGGATACCGCTGTTGCAGGGGGCTACACTCTACCTGTATCCTAACAATAAATTCATTGGCGCACATCTGCTGGATTTCATCCGGCAACACCAGATAGACATCGTTCCGCTGATATCACCTACCGTATTGTCTTCCCTTCCGGTAAATGAGCCCATTGGGAATCTTACGGTCATTGGTATCGGTGGTGAAGTATGCCCCCCCTATACAATGCAATATTGGTCGGAGCAGGTAAAGCTATTTAACTCCTATGGCCCCACGGAAGCCACTGTTGCGGTGACCAGCATTTTATGCAGGGAACATTTAACGCCCAAAACAATCGGCAAAGCAGCACCGGACATCGACCTTTATATTCTTGACGAACAGCTGCGTGAGGTAGCGCATGGTATGCCCGGGGAATTATTTGTGGGTGGCATACAGATAGCCAGGGGTTATCTTAACCGGCCGGAAATAACGGCTGAGAAATTTATAAAGAATCCGTTTGCACCTACAAACCCCGACAGCACCCGCCTTTACCGGACCGGCGACCTGGTAAGGCGGCTACCTGATGGCAATATTGAATTTGCAGGCAGGATGGATGACCAGGTAAAAATAAGAGGCTATCGTATAGAACTTGGCGAAATTGAAAGTGCACTGAGCCGGTTAAAGAATGTCCGGCAGGCGGTAGTACTTCCAAGAGATGGGCAGCACGGCCATGTATTGCTGGTTGCATTCATTGTGCCAGATGATGTACTGCCTGCAGACACAGAGCTTATAGTACAACAGTGGCGACAAACGTTGTTACAGGTACTGCCAGCCTATATGGTGCCGGACAGGTTTGAGCTGCTGGAAAAAATGCCGGTGAATGTTCATGGGAAAATAGATAAAGATCAGTTGCACCTATCCGTTAAAGACGATGCAGACAATCTGCTACCTGCTCATAACCTGGCACCGGAAGACTATGCATCTGCTATCAGCAAGGTATGGGCAAAATATCTTCCTATCGGCCAGATAAACAATGGAGATGATTTTTTCCAGTTGGGCGGCCACTCGCTATTGCTGATGCAGGTCTATTCATCTCTGCCGGTAC